AAGTTCCTCGAGCCGGGATATGAACTCAAGATGCCTGTAGCACAACGGCTCTATATGTTGGGGCACTGCCCACAAGACTTTCAGCGCCGACGGTGTGTTTACTTTTTAACTAGTCCTCCTATTAACAACCATTATTTTTTTTTATGGATTTGTGGATGCGGAATGATTTATCGTGTGAACCAGTAATAGAAGATCATAACCATATCCAGTCTTGCGATAGAGGCATTGCCTCCTGTCACGTGACTTTGCCCCATTCATTCTCAATTACCCCCCACCAAACCCAGCATACGCTTTAGGGGTCTGTACAAACTCAATGGAGGCAAGAGAGACGTGGCCTCCTGCTGTAACTTTACCTGCTGCTGTCACTGTCTGACAGTGTTACTTCACAAAAACGAGCAATTTACAGGTGCATCTCAATAAATTAGAATGTCGTGGAAAAGTTCATTTCAGTATTTCAACTCAAATTGTGATTCCACAACATTCTAATTTATTGAGATGCACCTGTATATCTTATGATACTTCAACAGCAACCAAGATGGCATTGACTTAGATGTTGCATTTGAGCAAATAATGTAAAATGACAGTAGAGTTCTGTAACTATAAGACTGCTGCTCACTGATATGAGGATGCTGATCTTCTACAGAGAAACGTTATTGGTGAGTCTTACTGAGTTTCCATCCTTGCCTATTTCACTAAATATAGTAACTAAATGTTTACGCAGACATTCAAGAGTTATGCTGTAGTTGTTTGTTGTACTTATTGGTACTAAGTTTTGAGAAATTGTTTAGAATACAACGTTTATGTCATGAAGGGTTTATGAATTTTTCTTTTACACTCAAACTAGTGCTTCCTTTGAACACAGGCATGAAAGAGTTTTAGTTTGTTGACTTGCTGACCTACTAATGTAATGAGTTTTGAGAAATGGTTTAGATTACAGATGACATTTTTAGCAAATGTTTTTATAAATGCGTTTTACAAGCAATGTTGCTTTGTATTAAATAGAACATCTACTGAATCTATAAATAATGGAGCATTTTTTTGTTTGGAGCTCCTAATCTATTCAAAGTAGATTGTCTTTTTACAAACTGCTTTAAAAAAATGTGTTGAAGTCAGTTTACTACTTTAATAAATTTACAAAAAGGATAAAATGGGTGTGAGTTCGATCCCCACAATGACTATAAACTGGTTGTGTGTTTGGTGGACCCCAGATATACACTATACCTGAAATGACCCCACAAGTAACCACTGCGTCAGGTTTATAACTTCTGTAGTGAAATATTTGTTATCTGAAGTGAGGCACACAGGCTTTTTAGTTTTTGTCACATTATTTTTTTTTAGGTCTGTAGGATCATAGGAAAGGGTGGTGCCCACTATATAGCAATTCTGACAGGTGACCCCCACGGTGCATAAAAACAAGTGTGAGTGTGTGTGTGTGTGTGTGTGTGTGTGTGTGTGTGTGTGAGA